TTTAGAACTGCCTGTTGTCTTTTCCTACATGCTGTTCACATTTTAGGTGACTTTAAACCTGTGGGTAAATTGCCTTGTAGATTATTTTTTTTCTGAAGAAAGAGAATAATAAATACTCTCTTGAGTTACTGCATAGCTATTGAAAACTAAACAGTATTTTTCAAAACCCTTTTGAGTTGTTGCAAAGCACAGTGCCCCATTGAGTATTGTATTACTTTGCTTCTGTTTGCTTTCAAAACTTACAGCATTCCAATTATCCTATTGTTACTGAATTCACTAAAGTTAATATGCTTGTTTACTAAAATGGAATTTTTAAATGATGAAAGCTTATATTTGCCAAGTGAAATAAGCCAGATATTTAGCTAATTCTACCATGGAACTCATCCTGATTTTATATATGTTTTACATTTTCTCTCCATGTGCATATATATTTGTATTTGGAGATATGCATCCTGTTTTTGCTCTATTTTACAATGAATTTTAATAGATGTTGAAACCACTTATATTTTCATTTTTTGAAGTGGTTTCTTTGATGGATATTTTATTATAAGTATCACAGGACATCCAAGTCAATGGGGCCAGACATAAAAATATGAAATAGATAAAGTCTGGCTTTAGCTTTCTCTTTCAAGGTGACCTCCCACTTCCCCAAGGGCCTTCCCATGTCCCATTGCTCACAGTCAAGGTGCCCAAGGGTTGTCAGTATCTCCAAAGAGGTATTTGTGGTTCCATCATAATAGTGTAAGCCTGGTGGGTTTGCCTGCGATGCTTACTTTAGCCACACTTGTTTGTACAGTGTTGACTATACATGAGTGAAAGTGGAAGAAGTGAAGAGAACAAACCAGTGTCAGAGCAAGGCCAGACTTCCTGAATCTGTTTCATCTTGGTTTCTTCTTCCTTAATGGGTGGGGCTGCACGGACAGTTCTGGTAAAGACTGGCTCTGAAGGAAGACAAGGAAAGAGGAAGAGAGAATCTAGTGGCTATAACTATAGGCCAGGCATTGTCCTATGTTTTCTGCATACATATTATCTCAATTTAATAAAGCAGTATTCTTTTTTAAAATGTACTTGATAATAAACATTTTTGGAGTAAAACAGAAAGCCTCTTTTATATAGCTCCTGTTTCTCTGAGGGTTCCTGCTGCTGACCGCTAGAAGAGAAGAGCTTCACGCACCCCCTCTTTTATTATTATGTTTTTAAAAGTACATTTTAAGGACTGAATAGTGTGTTTGATATTTTTTAAGTCCCAAGAAAAAATAAGGTCTTTTAATGGCCATTTCTCTAAGGGAAAAATATGACAATGAAGTCATAGAGGTTTTACAAATCTAATTTTTGGAATAATGAAATAGCGTGCACAGTACAAAGTGAAATAATGACAATGACATTATTTTACTTTTGAAGGACTAAAGCAGGCACACACCTTCAGAGATTGGACACTTTTAGACTACAGTGTGGGATTATTCACTATTCTGCTCTGCAATTGATGGGACAACCCAAGAATAAAGCTTTAGATGTTAGGTCAATGCTCAACCACTGAGCCACACCAGCTGGTCATCATGGTTCTAGAATTGTCTGGTAACATGGCCACATCCAATGTTTTCTTTTGGAACCTGAGGTCTGGGTATCTGAGCTTATCAAGCACAGGTTCAGCTCAGTTGCCTGTAGAAACCACCAAACTTTTCATAGGCCGTGGGTGGCGAAGCACTTGTGTGTGCCCACCCTGCTGTTCAGCTTGGAGCCACCACTGGTTTTAATTATGACTTCAACAGGCAGCTTTGAGGGCTCCTCTGTTCATTACAGTGCCTCACACTCTTTAATTAGTAATAAAGGAACACAGGCACTTCATAAATATAAAGGGCTAAACAATAATCAGGCAGTAAAGGCAATGCATTGGGACTTTTCCACCTAAGATTTTCTTTCAAGTTAAAAACAAAACAAAAAAACTTTTAATTATTTTTTATTGGTTTATTAGAGGGAGAGAGGAGGGGACAGGGAGAGAGAGAAACATGATCAGCTGCCTCCTGCACACCTCCTACCCGGGATCTAGCCCACAACCCAGGCAATGTGCCCTAACCGGAAATCAAAGAGGCAATCTTTTGGTGCATGGGACAATGCCCAACCAAATGAGCCACACTGGCCAGGGACAAAACAAAAAACTTTAGTTGCTTCATTTTATTTTCTTGCCTTGAATAATTGGGTTTGAATTTAATTCTGGCCCCTTATTACCTGTGTGACTTTTGGCATTTTACCTATCCTCACTGTGTCTGTCTTGTTTGTTTGTTTTTAATCTGTGAAATGGAGAGCATGATAGTTCCCATCTCATGGAGATAGACTGAGGATTAAATGAGATATTTCATGCAGAATGCTTTGTAAGGAGCTTCACTCATATGAAAGCTTGTTCAGTAAATGTTAGCTCTCATTATTATCATTTTAATCTCAAGTGAAATGAATGCATAGAGTATAAGGCATAGATCTCAAAAACTTTCCATTATGTACTCTTTCAAACACAAACACACAAATAGATTGATATGATTACCCCCACCCCCACACACATGTACCCATGCTAGCATTGACAGTGATCAGTATTTTATCAATCTTATTTCATTTGGCAAATTTTAAAGCAAATTCTAAGCATCATGTCATTTCACCATAAATTTGAGTGTCTTTTTTATATTAACGTCCATAATATGCTAAGAGCTCCTTGGGACTATATCTTCCTAATCTTGAACCCCAGCTCCTAGAAGTTACTATGGTTAGTAAAAGCTCTACCAATGTTTGCTTAACTAGTGAATGAACAGTCCAAACAGTTTTCTTTGACTTTATGGTAGATGTGTTATAAATATTTGTTGAGTGAATAAGCAAGGGCAGGAATTTTTTAGAGTTCCTAATGTTTATGGAGATGCACATGTTTTACAAAATCAACAAATATTTTTAATACTTTGATGAGGTTTTCCAATACTTGAATCCCACAGGTTTAATATTGCTGTGAACATTAACAGTGCCCAAATAATCAGCCCATCCGAGGTTTAAATTTTTTTTTATTTTTGTTTTTTTTTAAAATTTTTTTTCGAGATTTAATTTTGGCACTCAAATTATTTGTGAGTATCTGACTATCGGCATCTTCACGAAAAGCAATTAGCAGATTCTTCAAACACATGACAAATCCTTTATTACTGTGCTTATAAGTGACACGGTTTACAGAAAACCAAATGTAATTAAATAACATTGAACTTGAAATCTACCACAGACTCAAGATATACAAGTTATACTTGGCAAGGCAAAACTTCTCAAACACTAGATTGTTTTAGGTAAAAGATAAATTTCCATTAAGGAATTCCAACATGTTTTGTTTTTTGTCTTACAGACATTTCCTTTGGCAATAACTTCCACTTTAGCTTTTATTATATAAAAATATAACAAAATTTCATTATATACAAACATTACATTACACAATGTACAGGTTAAAAACACTAAGAAAATGTCAAGCTGCAAGTGAAATTAAAGTCAATAGCATGATAAGAAAAATTAAATACAGCACACATTTCATAAAAATTACATTAACTACATTTTTTTTTGTTTGCAAATACCAAACAGTACTAATGTGATTGGAAATAGCTCCCAACAACTTCATTTTAAGGCACATCTTGCATATTTATATATACAACACTGAAACCGGTCAATAACTTAGGGTCTTCTCAGAGTGACCTGTATATGTGTGAAGACATGCAGCATGGGGTTACACATTTTCATTGGCTTCCTTCTTTGGGGACAGGTACCTGCCAGGTGGGGACTGATAGAGGGGTACCCCGATCTCCTGCAAGTCTGGGAGCCTCGCTGGACGAGGAGGGGAGAGCAGAGTGACTGTCCTGTCATAGTCTCTGTGCAGCACTTTCTCATAGACGCTCTGCAGCCCCACTGTCTTGGGCAGCTGGGCCTGGTAGTAATTGTCTCTGCGCAGGGGATCCCGAGGCAGCGACGTGCTCTTACAGAAGGTTGACATCTGGGCTGGTGGGTGTGTGGAGGGCTGGGTGTTGGGCCCTCCACATGATGGGCTCCAGCAGCGGTCAGAGTGGCCCAGGATCTTGCACTCAGCCGTGCACGCCCACAGTCCTAACATAAAAGAGAGAGGGAGAGAACATGATTATTACTGAGATTGGTATGCCTCCATCTTCAGTATGTCAGACAGGGTTAGGGTGGCTGAAAAGGAAAACCTGTATGAAGATGAATGCCAGTGACTGAAAATTTGAAAGGAACATTGCTGCAAAGCCACCTAACTCCAAGTTAACTCAGCTTCTTTTGCTGGAAGCAGAAGCCCTCTCCCCCCCCACCCCCCCCCAAAAAAGCCGGTTGGCTCACTAGCATCACCCCTGCCTCTGCCTACCAGGGCGGGGCTGTGCTTAATTCAAATGGTGAAGCTGCCTCAACCTTGCGTTTTGAAGTTCATTGTATGGGGCCTGCCGGAGTCTGGAACTCCAGGACTGAGAAAAGTGGGGAAGAGGGAGTGGCGTGGGCAACAGAGATTGAGAGGTGGCAACAGGGGAGGGAAAGGAGGAATGCTGAACTTGGAAGGAAAGAGACGTCCTCACCACTCTGCATATGGTTGATGAGGTCCTTTTTCAGAGCGTCCCCACTGATGTCTGAATCACTGTCATTGAAATCACTGTCCCCTTTGCCGCTGTCTTTGCCGCTGAACTTCTCCGCTTCTCGGCCAGAGATGGTGTTGAAAGAATGTCCTTTCCAGACCGCCACGGGGGGCGCCGGCTCCTTTCCGAAGCCAGAGGCGCCGCGGTAGGGCTGCAGCAGGGGATGGGAGAAGCGGGGGGTGAGGGTTGGGCAAGAAACAACAAAACAAAAAACATGTGCGACAGGTTAGGCATCTATCTGGCACGCCCACCCAGACCCCTCCAGTCTCTTCCCCCAGCCTGTCCGCGGAGCACGGAGCGGGGCGCCCAGCCGAAGA